TTTTTTTTTTTTTTACACCACTAATCATCATCATCAACGTCTGTTTAAAACGCAATTCTAATCCTAGCTCTTGAGAAAAACTGTCTCTCATAGCAAGCACAGAATTGCCTATTTAAAGGAATAGTTCACCAAGAAAATTATGTTTGGTCATCATTTTTTTCCAAACCTCTAAAAATCGATGTAGAATATAAAAGGAGTTATTGTGCAGAATGTCCTGGCTGCTTTTTCACGCCCATGAGTGTAAGTGAATGGGACTTTTGAGCTTCAAAATGCACCATAAAAGATGTTGTGACTTGTTCCTTGTGATAAACGAAGTACACTTTAGCATATTTTTTAATAGGAGTACTTATTATGCATTAATGTGAAAGTCAAATTTATATTAAATGTAATTAGTTGAACTTGAGAGTATATTTGATCCACTTACACAGAACTTCAGCACATCTTTATATATAATTTCATGATTACAAATATTGTCTTTGAAATAATGGTTAAAGTGTACCAGTGCTGAATGTACTGGTATGCATTTATGGTAAACTATAAAATATACTTTAATGTCATTTCTATTGAAACTTGTATGTTGTGTATTTGAATATATTTGTACTTACACATTTGTAATGATGACGGTGCAAATTAAATGAACTTAAATTTGAACTTCAAATTTGAAACTAATCAATTTAACATCAAATAACATTACAGTTCAAATTATAATCAAGTACTTCACGTGCTTCAGAATGTAATTTCTTTAAAGCACGAGAAAAGATTAGTAAAACAATTATTTAAAATATACTTTTCAACTTTTGCAGGAGAACCTTTGACATTATTATAAAGTGCACTTTTTTTTACAAAAAAAGGTTTACTTTAGTCATGAACGTGTACTCCAAGTACACTTAAGTGGCCTTTTATTTCAGTAATATTATCTACAAGTAGTTTTTCAAAAATATACTTTTAAGATTTGAAGTACAATACAGTTAAGTGTACTCCTTTTTTGCTATATTCCATATCATCTGAAGCCATATGGCCTTGTGTGAGGAAAAGATGACATTTTGGAGCCTTACAGCCCATGTTTTCCATATGCTTTTGCTGTGCAAAGAAAAATCAGCGTAAACATTCAGCCAAACATCTCATTCATTAAAAAAAAGTTTGAAAAATATGAGTAAATGGCAATTTTAATTTTGGGGTAAACTGTCCCTTATATAATTTAACAGACACAGTGAAATGCAGTTACTCATAAGAAATTAAACAGGTCAGTCTCTTAAAATAAAGTAATGAAACAGTTATAATGCAACTCAGCAGTTGCAAATATCCAGTTGGAAATGCAACATTGTTGGGCCTCAGCAATTAACCAATCAGCAGCTGCTGCCAAGGCAAAGCTCTCACTGACCAGCCAATCAAAAGCCTCAGTCCAGAGTGTCTTACTTGCTCGCTCTGAGGGGGACCAACAGAATCATTAGTCACAGCGGGTTGATCTGTGAGACCGGACAGATCTACGTCTTTTGTAAGTTCCTGTGAATAGCACAATGTCTCTGGAGTCAACTACAACTTCTAAATGATCTCTCTTTAATAATGTCTACCTAAGGTAAAGGGCACATTTTCTAGACCGCTAGTGACACCAGACTTAAATGTAAAAATTATAATAGTCTCCAAATACAGTGAACTAGCACACAGGTAAAAAGAGGGAGGCCTCACCTGATCAACCTCGTCCTGGGTGATTGGTTGAGTCTGAAAGCGGGTGTTGGCTCTACGCTGGCGTGTGTCAGGACGGGGTCCGTTTGCTGACTGGCCAGAGGGATGTGACAAGCGATTGAATAATGCCATCTTCTCACAAAGGCTTAGTGTTGATAAGTCTGGCTCCTCAGGACCCAAATCCTCTTCTCCCAGAACCGCCTCCTTCGAAACATCTTCTTTCTCCTGCTCATGGTGGGTCGATCCCTGTGCCGATGATGCCTGCAGACTGAGAGGAGAATTACAGGTCTATAATACATTTCTGCACACAGAGTGACCGAGACCAGTCCGGCTGCTAACAAAACTT